ACCACAGGTAGTTCAGACAAAGGCAGGTCGTCCAATGACCAAACCCGATTGTTGACCAGTCGTGGCATCGGAAAGTATACGAAAGACATAACAGCTTTACTCACTATCCTCCATCTCGGCCTCTGCGTCAACGGCATCCTGGGCCTCCTGCATCTCGAGGAGGGGTGCCCATGGGTGTGCCTGCGGAGTGCCTGGGGCTGTAATACTGGCTTGAACTGCGGACTGCAACTGTGCAAGCTGATCCTGAAGTGTCTGAAGCATGGTTGGGGAGTTGCCTGCAAGTATCGCCGCTGAGGCCCCTGCCACCACCGTCTGTAGCCGACCCATGGCTTCCTGCACTGACGGTACATCTGATCCAACGGGCTGGGCGGTGGCAGCGAGTACGGCGGTCCTGGCCAGGTGCACCTCAGACTGGATGTTCTGCAGCTCCGTGTTGGCCTGGACGAGCGCCGACTTTTTGTCACCAAGCTTGATCTCCAACTCAGCGACTGCTTGGTTAAGCTCATCAACCTCTTTGGATTTGGCGGTGTGCCTGTCCAAGGATCGACGAAGCATATCGTCTGGTGTCCGATGAGCTTGTTCCCGCTCCTCGGCCACTTGCAGGTCACGTCGAGCTTGTTGAATGACTGGGGCGTCATCGCCCAGGCCGCACTTCCGTAGGGCTGCCAATGCTCGCCGTGCCTGAGCAACTCCATCAGCGGGACTGGATGCACCACTGCTGTCGCCGTCAGGTTTCTTATCCTTGTCTTTTCCTCCCTCGCGGGGACGAGAGAATGGTCTCCGTGAAGGTGGTCGCTTCCGTGGCACAAAACTTGGATCAGGTACACCACGGCGGTCGCGACCGCACTGATAGCAATTATCGTTGCTGGCGTAGTTGCCCTCGAAGCCGCACTGACGTGTCGCCACGCATGCCCATCTCGGCTCCTTCTGGACTTCTGGCCTTCGACCTCGTCGGGCGCCATTCCCGTCGACGGCGGGGGGGGCACCACGCATGTGAGGCTCTTGAGACCCGTGATGCTGATTGAGTAGGTCCCGCAGCTTGACAATCTTCAGGAAACGCCTGGCGTGCGCGCGAGCCCGACGGCGGGCCCGATGCCAGGCGGGTGAGCGAGATCGCCCTGCAGGTATGATGAGTGTCGACTCGTGCGTGGGCGCGCACGAGCCTGGGGCGGGCAGTGCAATATGAAGCAGTGCAAAAACGCACCGCAGGGAAATGTCTCCCACGGCCTAAGCCCACGCCTGGGGAGGGGGAGGGGGAGGAGGAGAATAAGGAGGAGGAGGAGAAGGAGGAGAGGGAGGAGGAGGAGGAGGACGAGGAGGAAGAGGAGGAGGAGGAGGAGGAGGAGGAGGAGGAGGAGAAAGAGTAGGAAAAGGAGGAGGAGCAGGAGGAGGACAGTGGAGGAGACCACACTCGAGGATCTTGTGTGCAAGTCCGCGGTCCTGGCACCCAGCGGGGAGGCGCCGACACGCGCCGCGGCCGGGCAAAAGCAGCCTCAGGCCACCTCGATGCCCAGGAACCTCCGGAACCAGAGCCGCCGCTGCTCGTCGCCGAGCTGAGCCGCCTCTGCGCTGGCCGCCGTCCTCCGGCCTCCTCCGTCCTCCTCGGTCTTCCTTCGCCCTCCTACGTCTTCCTCCGTCTTCTGTTCTCTGCCCTCTATCGTGTCTCCTCCTCCTCCTCCTCATTCTCATCCTCCTCCTCCTCCTCGTCCTCCTCCTCCTCCTCCTCATCCTTATCCTCTTCCCCCTCCTCCTCCTGCTCCTCTTGACTCCTCCTCCTCCTCCTCCTCCTCCTCCATTCCTTCTTCCGTCGCACCCCTAGGCCAATTTTTAGGGCGGGCCGGGCTTTTGCCTGAGACTTCCTCACCATGTATGACCCTGAAGCTTAAACGTTGGCAACGCTTTCACAGATGGAATGCGGATGGTTTTCAAAATGTGGCTCTCGCCTGAGCGCCGCGCCCAGTCTTTTTTCCAAAAAAATGAAATGCAAGAGTTTCACGGATTGAGGGCAGAGGGCTTCCAACATGTAACTCTCGCCTTAGCGCCGCGCACATTCGTATTAAACATTTGCAAAGAGTTTGGCGGATTGAGGGCGGGTCGTTATCAAAATGTGGCTCTCGCCTTACCGCCGCGCCCATTCGTATTAAACATTTGTAAGAATTTCACGGATTGAGGGCGGGTCGTTTTCAAAATGTGGTTTTCGCCTTAGCGCCGCGCGCATTCGTTTTAAACGTTTGCAAGAGCTTCACGGATGGAGGGCGGAGGGCTTTCAAAGTGTGGCTCTCGCTGTAGCGCCGCGCACAGTCGCATTAAACATTGCATGAGTTTCACGGATGGAGGGCGGGTCGTTTTCCAAATGTGGTTCTCGCCTTAGCGCCACGCACGTTCGTAGTAAAAAATGCAAGAAGTTCACGGATTGACGGCGGTTACTTTTCAAAATGTGGTTCTCGCCTCAGCGCCGCGCACATTCTTGATAGAAACTTGCAAGAGCTCCACGCACGGACTCCCATGATCGACGTACCAGAACTTGTTTTTTGGAAGGATTAACGATTTTGAGCGCACAGCAGTTACGATGACTCGCGGAGTTGAGGTCCCAGGAATGGCGTGCTGGCACGGTTCAGAATCGTCAGGACACAACAGTCACTTTCATCCGTGGCGTTGGAATACCGGGATTAATGGTTTGGCATGTTTCATGGTCTTCAAACGGTTGTCTTCCAACGAGGCAGGTCCCTCTGTGGAAGTGAACCGTTGTAGGGGCATTTGAAGGAGAGCTTGGGGGGAGGGTCTATTCCAACATCATTGGTGACCCTTGGGTTTACACTGGTCCTTCTCCTCCTCTTCCCCTCCTCCTCGTCCTCCTCGTCATCGTCCTCCTCCTCCTCCTCCTCCTCCTCCTCCTCTTCCTCCTCCTCCTCCTCCTCCTCCTCCTCCTCCTCCCAAGCTCCAAAATCAGAGACCCGCGATGCAGTCGGCAGAGGCGGCCTGCGCGAGCGATCTCACAGAGGGTCACTAGATCCTCGCTCGGAGCTCCCGCGGAGCCTTCAGCACGGTCGTATGCAGCAGCTGGCCGATTTTGGCCCCGACGGCCTCGGCGAAACTCGCCATCCACTCGGGAGCTTTGATCAGCAGCGCGAGGCACCTGACTTCCTTGGCGTAGCGTGCCACCGATTGCTGACCCGAGTGCCCGAGCATGGTCTGCACCTCCGCCAGCGGGACGCGGTCCACGGCCACCGCGTGGGAGGCCGCCCCGTGCCGCACCTGGTACGGGGTGACGGCCTCGGTGTAGCCGACCAGCTTGAGGCGCTGCTCGAACTTGACCTTGAACGCGGGGGCCGCGAAGCTCCAGAGCGGCTCCAACGGGCGCCGCACGGCGCGGAGCTTGGCGAGGAAGGAGGAACCCTCCTGCTGCCAAAGCACGCTCCGAAGGACCACGCCCTCGTCGAAGCCTCGAGTCCTGCTGCGAGAGTTGACCTCCCTCGGGTACAAGAACAAGGCCCACTGGGGGCGAACCTCTCGCCCTGGGCCCACCTATGCCTCGGGGGCCATGGCCGGCAGATCCCTCGGCGGGCGGAGCATCGCGCCCCGCGCGATCGCGAGGGCGGCGGCAAACTCCAGGTCCCGCTTGAGGATGCTGGCGCCGATCGTGGCGAACACAGCGGGCATCGGGATGGAGTCGAGTGAGCCCACGAACCATCGGCGGCGAAACCCTCTGAGAGCCGCTCGCGCCTGGGGCAGTCCACCGAACTTGGCCTTCGGCAAGTCGGGCCGCCGGCGCTGGATCACAGCCCGCGCCCGCGACGAGCCCGTCTCCCCGAGCTCGCCCCCCCGCGCAGGTGGCCCAGGTAATGGGCGAGAAGGAAGTCGAGGCGCTCGAGGGGGACAAGCTTCACTGAGCCGAGGTTGGCCCACGTCACGAACAGGGTCGCCATCTTCTGGTAACTTCTTCGTGTAGCAACTCTTGGGTGTGCATGCTGTAAGCATGTCAGCCCGCGCTCTGCGGCCTCGGCCCTGCCGTCTGCGTCGTGCGCTCGTCACTTCGCCCTCTCGGCCCTCTGCCGAGCTTGGCGGGGCTTCCCCGCAGTGTGCAGATGGTGAAGAGCTGGCCCCGTGGCTCCGACCTGCCGTGCGAAATGAGGACGACGGAGCACTCGTGCTGGCTGCGCCTCTGCTGCCTCGCGGGGTGTGGATGCTCCCGACATCGAAGCCGTCGCCCGAGCCCCCATGCGCACGGCGGCCCCCGGCGTCGGCGCCCCCCGCCTCCAAGTTGTACGGGATGCCAAACTTAGCGTACTTGCGCCTGCCGAAGGAGTCGGACTCGCGGCAGTCGAGCCTCTCGACCCCCTCAAGCATCGCCCTCTCGAAGGCAGCCCTGGCCTTGCCAACGTCGCGGGGGTCGAGCTCGAAGCGCCCGACGGGCGAGACGACCGTGCGGGTACCCTTGTCGCTGCTGTTCCACTCGCCCGGGGGCCAACGGACGGCTACGGTCGAGTCGTTGAACAGACGCACAGCGGCCAACTCACGGCACGAGGAGTTGAGGAGGGGAGATGACGCTCTTCGTTTCACCAAGGCCAGGACGAAGCTCAGATTGTCTCAAAGCAAAAGCTGCATCGTTCCTCTCGATCGGATATCCCTAAATCGACGCCGAACTCCGAGCAGGACCCCCCTCCCCTCGAGCCTCGGGATGTTCCCCGAGCCCATCGCCCGAAGAGGGTGAAGGTCCAGGCGCCCAGCGGGAACGCCAGGTTGGTGTCGAGCCCCACGAAGTCGCCCTGCGTCACTCGGTCGGTGGACACGATGTCGGGAGCATTGTCGTCCGCGCACACCGCCACCTCCTCGGCGCTGCGCTCGACCTGCTCGTGGTTGATCTGCTCGAGGCCCGCCGCAAGCTGGCTCGAGGAGGCGCGCTCGCGGGCCGCCGCCGCGCCAGACACGAGGTGGCGCCAGCGCTAGGAGCGCCTCGCGGCGCCCCACACCGCCTCCGCGGGCCACGCGCGCTCGGTGACGCCGAAGCCGCCGAAGAGCGCGCCCTCGGGGTCGCCATCTCCAGACGAGGCGTTCGCGTTTGTCACGAGGGGGTCGATGGGGCGCCTCGCGTCGAGGTAGGCCAGGCCCAGCAGCACGCCCGCGGCGCGCAGCTCAGCCGCCACGTCGGGCCGTGGCCGCCAGACATTGTCACCAACCTTGCGCGCATACCGATACGCCGCACTGAACACGGACAGAAGGGGCCCCCTCAATAGTGCCGCCCAGTTGTAGTGGCCGACGAGCTGGAACGCAGCGCGACCAGATACATACTTCTGAGACGCCAGCTCCAATAGGGCGAGGCGCATCTTCCACAGGCGGCTGGAGGACAGGCGAACCTCGCCAGTGCCGCGCAAGAACACCAAACCCGTGAACGACTGCTCGTCCGCGGTGGTGGCGATGCCCTTGCAGCGCAACGCGCTAGCCTCCAGCTCGCGCTCGACGGCTGCAATGCCGTCCCGCGCCCGCTTCCGATCCACGCCGACCACCACCGCGCCGTCCACGTATGCGGCGACCGCTGGGCCGCGGGCGACGTCCTTCACCACGTGCTCGTCGCTGATCATGTCCTGCTCGCGGAAGCCAGCCTTCAAGACGTGCGACGGGACGACGCGCGGCAAAAGTGCTGGGACCAGTTCCACCCCATGGGGAGCGCGACCAGGCGGGGGGGCGGCACGCTCACCCTTAACCATCTCCACGGGCAACGAGAGATCGAGCTTCAGCAAATCAGACACGAGAACGCTGGGCACAGCCATGAGCTCGGCCAGCCCGACGGGGGCCTCCACGCGGTAGAAGGCCGCCTCGATGTCCACCTGCTCGACCACAAGCTCGTCGCCCTCTCGGGTGCGCAAACCGCTCCACGCCCCAGCCGTCGGCAGCTCCACCGTGGGGGGGTCGTGAAGGTAGGAGTTGACCTTCCTCGCATCCAGAACCAGTCGGCGTCCCCCATCGGACTTTGCGACGAAGAGCAGGGCAATGGTGCAGGAGGCGTCCTCTCAGAAGGTGACCGCGCCCGCCTGGGAGACGCGCCTCAACAACTCACAGTAAGTCAACGTGTCTCGACGTAGGACCTCGTCAGAGTGGGGGCGAATCGCCGAAGAACGGTTCTCCTTCGGACGCAAGAGTCTGGCCCTCCAGTCACGCTACAAATCGCTCGCCCCCCTGACCAGGTGCTCGCCGGGCTTGCACTTGGCGTCATCCGGCGGGAGGGCGATCGAGTCAACGGAGAACGTGGCTGGCTTCGCAGGCTCATCGAGGCAGCCTGGGGTGGGGCGGCGCAACTCACGCAGAGCTGCCGCCAAGCTGACAGGCGGCGGGCCCAGCGCCGCCAAACGCCGCCTCAGGTCCAACGCACCCGCCCGCTGAGCAAGAGAAAGGGAGTTGAAGTCGGGGCTGCCCTCCTTGCCGTAGAGCCAGTTGACCGCCGCCAGGCACTCCGACGTCGACGAGTTGATGAACGCATTCTGTACAGCCCGTCGTCTGCGGCCGCGCCTCGGAGCCGCGAGAGCACCCAGCCTCGGTGACTCTAGGATCGCAGGCGCTGCGTGCAGCGGCGCGGGCAAGAGATCCCGCTGCACGGCCATGGGGACAGAGTGAACCTCGCTTGCCGCCAGGCGGGCGGCCAAGCCCCTCGCGCTTCGAGCCGGCCTTGCGGGGGGTGGCGATCTGAGCCTTCAGCACCGTGATTTCCGAGCGCTGCTTGTCGACCAGGCTCTGCAAAGCCGCCTGTCCTCCCTTCCCGCCCCTGCTGCTTGCCGACGCTTGATGCTCGGCGCGCTCCTCGCGCATCTTCCGCCTCTCATTCAGGATAGCGGCCTCCGTCTTCAACTTCTTTGAAAAGTAGGACAGCAGGGAGGGCGAGACCATGGCCAGGCCGCGCGTCTCCCCGACGCCAGGGTAGAGGTGGGCATCCTCGAGCAACTCGTCGCCCTGGGCGGCGCCGATCGCTCGCTCCCGATGTCTATATTCACACACGTGTAACTTCCGAGACACCAGCTCCATGCACGCCAACTCTGTGATACTTAATTGATCGCACCCGACAGCCAACTGCAAGAGCCGACAACAAAACTCATGATCTATCACTGACTGGTCCCCCGCCGTCAAGCCGACCTCGGAACGCCACTTGACGCGTCGGCTCCGCGGGGTTACATCGTGGTCTCGACTGTATCTCGCAACCCAAAACGTCACCCTCGGGCCTGAGATGGGGGACTTTGGCCACTCTGTCTCTGGAAACTCGCTGACCGCGTCCCTCCAGTTCAGGTGCCTGCCCGTCTCGCGGATACCCAAAACCCTCGCGTCCAGAGGGGGCCGTCCTTGGGCGCCTGGGTGGAATAGATCACCGCGTAACCGCGGTACAGGACGAGGCCGATCCCCGAGATAGTGAAAGACAGCATCGCTCTCGAATCAGTGATCTTGGCGAGGTACTTGTCACTCGTAGCGCCTGAGGCGCACCAACGATCGGGAGTGGGGTCAAGAAGGCCCTCCTCCACATGAACATCAGGTGGCAACTCAATAACCTCGCCCGAACTCTCCAAGAGCTTGAGCTGAGATGGCGTCTCCTTCTGGTCGGACTTCTTCGACGCTGGAGCCTGGACTGGTGCCCCTGCCTCTTCTGCCCCTGGTTGCGCCTGGGCGTCGGAGTGGGCGAGGGCCGTCCGCAGCATCACGTCGAAGTTCATCCCTGTCACGAACTCCAAGCATTCGAAGGAGAACGCGGGGGACGGGCTCCAGCCCGAGCCGTAGGGCTCGGCCTCGGTGTCGAGCTGGCGTCCAATCATCGAAGCGGGGCGTCCGCGGCCCCCCCGATCGAGCTCAACGCGCTGTACACTCCTTTGGCGTGCAGCATGTGGGGGTACGTGTCTCCGTCAGGAGTGGCTGCCCACCATAGACACTCCACTCCCACTGTCGCTGGTACTGGCCTCCCCATCACCGTCTAGAACTCTTCTGCGGTGGCGGGTGCGATGAGAAGCCGAACTTGAGGGGACGTGCCGCGTTCCCACTGCACGAGAATATACTGCCCCTCCTCCTCCTCCTCCTTCTCCTCCTCCTGCTCCGTTTCCCTCCTTTCTCCCTCGTCCCTCGTCCCTCGTCCCTCCTGCCTCCTGCCTCCTCCTCCTCCTCGTCCTCGTCCTCCTCCTCCTCCTCCTCCTCCAGCTCCTCCTGCTCCTTCTGTTCCTCCTGCTCCTCCTGCTCCTCCTCCTCCTCCGCCTCCTCCTCCCCCAATCCCCCTCCTCCCCCTCCTTCCCTCCTCCATTCCTCCCTCATCATCCGTCGTCGTCCTCCTCCTCCTCCCTCGTCCTCCTCCTCCTCCTCCTCCTCCTCCGCATCCACCTCCGTCTCCGCCTCCTCCTCCGCTTCCACCTCCGCTTCCTCCTGCGCTTCCTGTTCCTCCTCCTCGCCCTCCTCCCTCGTCCTTCTCCCTCGCCCTCCTCCTCCTCCTCTTCCTCCTGCGCCTTTTCCCTCTCATTCTCCCTCGCCCTCGTCCTCCCTGCCTCCGTCCGGAGGGGAAGGGACCATGTGCCGGTGCCGTCCGACCTCATCTCGTGCCTCCTCGCGCCACGGTACCTCGCTAGCAGCCGACGCCGTCCTCTCCTAGGCCAGCGAACCGTCCGCGCGGTCGGTATGCTCCGTCCCGAGGCGCGCGCCTCCCGCCGTGGGGGCCGGGTGCCTCCTCCGGCCCCAAGCCCCCGCGCTACCCTTGGCCTCTCTAGCGCACTCGAAGAATGCTCTCCTGCCGGCGTTTCTCCTCGTTCCTCTGTCACTTCTCCTCCTCCGCGTCCTCGCCCGTCCTCGTCGTCGGCCTCCTCCTCCTCAATCCTCCTCCTCCTCCCTCCTCCTACTACACGTCCCATCCTCCTGCCCTCCGCGTCCTTCTCCCCTATTCCTCCTCCTCCTCCTCCTCCTCCTCCTCCTCCTCCTCCTTCTCCTTTTCAACCTCCTCCTCCTCCACCTCCTTCTCCGACAGCTCCACCTCCTCCTCAGATTCGTCCTTCTCCGCCTCCTGCTCCTGCTCCCGTTCCTGCTCCCGCTCCTGCTGCTCCTGCTTCTCCCGCTGCTCCCGCTGCTCCTGCTGCTCCCGCTGCTCCCGCTGCTCCTGCTGCTCCTGCTGCTCCTGCTGCTCCTGCTGCTCCTGCTGCTCCTGCTGCTCCTGCTGCTCCTGCTGCTCCTGCTGCTCCTGCTGCTCCTGCTGCTCCTGCTGCTCCTGCTGCTCCTGCTGCTCCTGCTGTTCCTGCTGCTCCTGCTGCTCCTGCTGCTCCTGCTGCTCCTGCTGCTCCTGCTGCTCCTGCTGCTCCTGCTGCTCCTGCTGCTCCTCCTCCTCAGCCCTCAGCCGCAGCCATCAGCTTTCAGCCTCATCCTCAGCCCCCATCCTCCCATCCCCATCCCCATCCCATCCTCAGATCAGCACAGCATCAGCATCATCATCCATCATCATCATCACACATCATCATCTCATCATCATCATCACATCATCATCAATCAACAATCATCACATCAATCATCCATCAGCATCATCATCACATCATCGTCATCATCATCATCATCATCATCAGCATCATCATCATCATATCATCCATCATCCATCATCATCATCATCTCATCATCATCATCATCACCATCATCATCATCAACATCATCATCATCATCATCATCATCATCATCACATCATCAATATCATCATCAGCACATCATCATCATCGTCATCATCATCATCATGTCATCATGAAGCAGTCAATGATCATCATGATCATCATCATCATCTTCGTCATCATCAACGTCATTCATCATCATCGCAGCAATCCATCATCATCATAAAGCATGAATCCTCCTCCTCATCATCATCATCATCATCATCTCATCATCATCATCATCACCATCATCACATCATCATCATGAGCAATGGATCATGATCATGATCATGATCATTCATCATTTCTTCATCGTCATCATCATCGTCGTCATCATCATCATCAGCATCAGCATCAGCATCAGCATCAGCATCATCGTCATCGTCATCGTCATCATCATCATCATCATCAGCATCAGCATCAGCATCAGCAGCATCATCAGCATCAACATCATCATCATCATCATCATCATCATCATCATCATCATCATCATCATCATCATCATCGTCCTGCTCGTCCTGCTCGTCCTGCTCATTCTCCTCGTCGTCCTCGTCGTCCTCGTCCTCCTCGTCCTTCTCGTCCTCCTCGTCCTTCTCGTCCTCCTCGTCCTTCTCGTCCTCCTCCTTCTCCTGCTCCTCGTCCTCGTCCTCCTCCTCCTCCACGAACTCCACGTCCTCCTCCTCCACCTCCTCCTCCTCCTCCTCCTCCTCCTACTGCTCACTCTCCCCCTCGTCCTCGTCCTCGCCCTCGTCCTCGTCCTCGTCCTCGTCTTCGTCCTCCTCCTCCTCCTCCTCCTCCTCCTCCTCAACCCACTCCTGCTCGTCCTGCTCGCCCTGCTCGTCCTGCTCCTCCTCTCTTCCTGCTCCCTCCCTCCCTCCCTCCCTCCCCTGCCTCCCCCCTGCCCTCCCCTCCCCTCCCCTCCCCTCCCTCCCTCCCTACCGCCCCTCCGTTTTGTTCACGACCCTGCGGGCCGACCCCGCCTCCGCGTCGGCCACCGTCCTGATCCTGCCGCCCGCCAGCGCCCACCGGTCCTCCGCGGGTGCCCGCAGCACGGTGTCCAGGTCTGCGGCGACCACCTCCGCAGAACCAGAGGCACAACGACGGTAGGAGGAAGGAGGGAGGGAAGGAGGAAGGAGGACAAAGAGGAGGGAGGAGGACCCGTGCAAACCCAAGGCGCATCATCGACGTTGCAGAGAACCCTCCGTGAAGGTCCCCCCTTCGTAGGCCCCTACAAGGATGTATTTTCAGTGTGGGGAGTGTCCGGTTGAAAGACAAGCGTCTGAGAATCCTCAATCGGGTCCATTGCTGGGACTCCAACGCCGCAGATCGATGTAACTGCTGCGTTCCAGCAGTCCTAGAACGTGCCCAAACACTACTCCTGGGACTTCGACGCAGCCATTCAAATTAAGTGATGCGTCGCGACAAGCCCGAATCGCGCCAGAACACCATTCCTGGGACTTCAACCCTACAGATCTGCGAGACCGCTGCACACTGTTAAAACGACTGCGCGCGGCGCGAAGGCGAGAGCCGCATTCTGAAAAGGAACCACCCTCCATCGTTGAGCCTGGTGCGAGCTTTCAAGGCGAAAACGCGCGGCGCGAGGGCGAGAACCACATTTTGAAAACCACCCGCTCTCCACCCTTGAAGCTCCTGCAATCTTTTCAAAACAAATGTGCGCGGCGCTGCGGTGAGAGCCACCTTTGGGAGACCACCCGCCCTCCGTTTTGGAAGCTGACGCGAAGTTCAACCTTCAAGATCATGCATGGTGGCAGAGTCTCAGGCGAAACGCCCGACACGCCCTACTGACGCGCCCGGGGGTGCAACAGGGGAAAGGTACTGCAAAGAGAAACTAACTGACAGGGGGAGGGAGGAGGAGGAGGAGGAGGAGGAGGAGGAGGA